GGGGACACCGGGAGCGGTGAGGGGACACCGGGACAGGTGAGGGGACACCGGGAGCGGAGCGGGGGATGAGGGGAACGGGGGAACACCGGGACAGGTGAGGGGACACCGGGAGCGGTGAGGGGAACGAGGGGTACAGAGGGACCTTCCGGGACAGGTGAGGGGAACGGTGGCACCGGGACAGGTGAGGGGGGTGAGGGGAACGGGGGCACCGAGAGTCCCGGGATGGGGCCGGGGGGAGGAGGATGATGGAGCCGGGAGAACGGCGGGACCGAGCCGGGATGGAGCCAAGGTTAGGGTTAGAGTTAGGGATGCAGCCGGTGCCCCCCGCCCTGTCCCGGTGCCGGACCCGCCTCTCCCGGGATCGGGCGGCCCCGGAGCGAAGGGACCGTGACCCCTCCAGCCCTGGTCCCCGTCACCTCCTCCTGGGGAGGGCGAGCTGGGAGTCCCGGGGTGGAAGGGGCCGTGTCCCTGGTCCTGGGCTCTGCCCCCTGGGCTCTGGGGTTGGGCTCTCACTCGGTGTTCGGGGTTTGGGATCAGGGTCTAGGTCTGTGTTTGGGGTCTGGGTTTGGGATCAGGGTCTAGGTCTGTGTTTAGGGTCTGGGTCTGAGTCAGGGTCTAGGTCTGTGTTTAGGGTCTGGGTCTGAGTCAGGGTCTGGGTTTGGGTCTGGCTTTGTGGTCTGGGTTTGCATCAGGGTCTCTGTTTGGGGTCTGGGGTTGGGTCTGGACTCAGGTCGGTGTTTGGGGTTTGGGACTGGATTCTGGGTCTGGACTCGGGTCTGTGTTTGGGGTCTGGGACTAGATTTGGGGTCTGGGTTTGGGTCTGAGTCTGGATCTGGGATTGGGCTTGGCTCTGGGTTTGGGGACTGGGTTTGGGCTCTGGCTCTGGATAGGGGCTTTGGGCTCTGGGTTGGGGTTTGGGCTCTGGGTTGGGGTTTGGGCTCTGGGTTGGGGTTTGGGCTCTGGGTGAGGGTTTGGGCTCTGGCTCTGGGTCTCGATTGGGGCTCTGGGACTGGGTTGGGGCTCTGGATTTGGGCTCTGGGTTGGGGTTTGGGCTCTGGGTTGGGGTTTGGGCTCTGGGTCTCGATGGGGCTCTGGGTTGGGGTTTGGGCTCTCTCTCTGGGCTCCCAGCCCTGTCCCATCCCCTCACCCCCCCGTGTGTGCAGCAGGCCGGGCCATGACGACCCTCACTCACCGGGCCCGGCGGGGGGACCCGGCCAGGGGCTCGGACAAGAGGCCGGAGGGGGACGAGGCCGGAGCTCCGGACAGAGACCCCGACGAGGACAATCCCGAGGACTCCAAGGACATCCGGCTCACCCTCATGGAGGAGGTGCTGCTGCTGGGGCTCAAGGACAAGGAGGTGACCTTTGGGGGGGGTCCTTTTTAGGGCGTGGGTCCTTTTTGGGGGGGGTCTGGATGTCCATGAGCAGCAGGAGGGATGGGGATGAGCTCCTCTCCCTCCTCTCCAGCAAAGCCACCCTGCTGGGAATCAGGGAATCCTGGAATGGGTTGGGTTGGGTTGGACCTTAAAGTAATTTCTTCCACCCCCTTCCACCAGACCAGGCTGCTCCAAGCCCAGGGGGGACACAGGAGACCCACTGGGATCCACTGGGATCTGCCAGGACCCTCCACATTCGGTGGAACAATCCCAGCAAGGAGCAAAACACCTTCTTGTCACAGCCCTGAGCTGGGGTTGGGGTTTGATTTGGGGCTCCTCTGTGCTTTAGCTCGTGGGATTTGCACCAGTTTAGTGGAATCCTGGAATGGTTTGGGCTGGAAAAGCTCATAAAGCCCTGGGGCACCCCCTGCCCCACCCCTGGAATTGCCCAAGGCCAGGCTGGAGCGAGCTGGGATAGCGGGAATTGTCCCTGCCCTTGCTCTCCACGATCTTTAGGGCCCCTCCCAGCCCAAACCATTCCATGATTCCTGCCCTTCCTCACCAGCAGCTGGGATTTGCCACGGGAAGCCCAGCAGGTGCTTTTTGGGGTGACAGTGGCAGAGCAGAGCCCTCACCACGGGCTTTCCCAGCTCCAGGAGCACCCCTGGATTGTCTTTTCCAGCCTGAACTTCCTTTTCCAACTCTCCTGGGCTGGTCTGAGCTCTCCTAGGGACCTGCAGGGGCCCAGGAAGGTGGGAATTGCAGGTTGTGAGGGCGACAGAGGCTGTGCCTGCCCTTCCTGACCATCCCAGATAAAGATCTGGGACCTGCAGGGCCGGGGAGGAAGTGGCAGGAGAGCAGGAACAGGGAGCAAATATTTGAGAGCGGGCTGGGAGCGGGTCCTGCCTCGTTCCTTGGGCCGTGTTTGGCGTTCCTGGCTCGCTGAATCCATCCTGGGAACGGCCCTTCAGCCACCAGGAAGTTGGGAGAGCACAAGAGATTAAAAAAAAAAAAAACAAAAAAACAAACCCCACCACCTTGGCACTCTTTTGTTGGTTTTTTTTTTCTCCATCCTGTCCTTCCACATTCCTCCACCTGCACAGAGAGAGAGCCCGGAGCTCTCCACGCCTCAGGTGGTTCTTTCCTCCTTTGGGTCGTTAAAAAAAAGGGGCAATTTTAGGCCAAAATTCACCAACTCCCGCTGGAATTTCGGTATTTGGAGTCCACCTGGGGGGGGGTGAGGACCCGCCTGGACACCAACCTGGCTTTCTGGGAGCAGGAGTTGGATTTGAAATCACCTTTTAATGTTTTTTTTATTTCTTCCCTGGGCTCTCCTGGGCGAGTTGAGGCTTCAGGTGGTGCTGCCACCTCCTCCTTTTTTTTTTTTTTATTATTGTTTTCCTGGAGAAACCCTCTGGAAAAGGGACTTGTGCAGAGCCCAGGGATGAAAGGTGGCTTTGTCCTCCCTCAGGAGGAAGTGGGGAGAGCAAACAAAAGCCCTGAGTGTGATTTTATGTGATTTTATGGCTCCCCCGGGGCCGGGCCCGGCCCTGCCGTGCAGATGCCCTGAACAAACAGATCCCTGGGGGCTGGAAAACCTTCCCTGGGAGTTCCCAGCTTGTTCTCCTCGGGAAGTGCCCTCTTCTGGCTGGAAACCCCTTCCCCTGAGACCTCGGGGTGTTCCTGGATTGCCCAGAAATCCAAGGGAAATGTTGCCTGTCAGTGGGACGAGCGGGATTGAGTTGGAGTGGGGGGGGGAAAACGAGTGGAAGGGAAGGGAAAGGAAGGGAAGGTTTGGGAAGGTTTGGGAAGGTTTGGGAAGGTTTGGGAAGG